CTCACCCAAAGGGTAACTCTGAATTGGGATGAATAAAACATGTAAACGCTATGCCTTTATGGAAAGACAATATAGGCTCTAGCTAGGAAACAGGAAGGGCAGAATTGGGAGAAATAACCCCAGAATGGAGACTGCCATTCTAGCTCAGGGAAGCTGAAGACTTGGGCAGGTCTGGTCACAGCTTAGGGACTGTTGGGTGACAGATGGGGACCTCCAAACACTCTTTCCAGTGACCTCAGAGGCAGGAAAGGGGAGTCCATCCTAGACCTGGGAGAGGGGATGGAAGCAAGCTGGACAAACAGGAGGCACAGACTATACAGCCCAAGTCGATAGCATGGATGGCATACCCTTATCAGCCAAAGTGTCTTGACCCTCCCCCATGCCCCAACATGTTATTTATGAATTACTTCCATGTAGTACATATTAAGTGTATCACAAAATCTTCACAGAGTAGAGACACTGGAACAGATTTTGAAACAGAAGGTGTAATATTTTATTCTTCACCTTGATCAGTCTTCTTGTGTACCCCACTTTGGAGACCAGTAGTACAGAACAGGTGAACTTGTGGGAGAGAGGGGAGTATGGAATTGTCACTCCCTGCATAGAACCTCAAAAGGGAAAAGCACCATCTACAAGTCTCCCCCTGCTTTTCCTCAAAAGAGAACCCTGTCACCATGTCAGTGAATAGGCAGGAATAGTGCCAGATAAGAACTCAGTGTCCCCACCACTCTCTCTCTAGCTTCCAGCCTACTGCCTGGCCTTCAGATTGCACTTGTCTTCCAAGGTTCCCATAGTTACACCTGATGCTACTGCCAGAAGGTTTTCCACCATTAGGAAGCACAGACTCTACAATCTGGTAGTGACCATATCTGACCTGGAAGAGTTTGGATGATAACACTAGGACTGTTTTCAATTTGGGGGAAGGGAAGCACTTTGTCTAGACTTTGTCTAGCACTTTGTCTATTACAAGGAGAGGGAATGAACCTTACAGAGTTCTCTTTATACAGAGTCCTGGGTGCAATTAAGCACTGGGTCCATGGTGGGTTTTGTTTTATTGGTTAATTGGTTTTGGCTAAAAATTAGACTAAGAAAAAATTATTTCCTGCAAAAACAGGTGTATTATTAACAAATGTCATAGCATTTTTTTTTCCTGTGGACTCTACAAATAGCTACTAGAGAACATCAGATTTGCTGCAGAATTTTTTTTTTATTCTTATGTTAATCCCCATACATTACATCATTAGTTTAAATGAAGTGTTCCATGATTCATTGTTTGTGCATAAC